TTGAGACAACTTCTAGTTAAAAGATACACCAACCATTTAGTCCTTATCAAATTGAGGATAAGTCAAGAAGTCCCTTATGAATTGATATGAATTGATAAATGTAAACTTTAAATAAAGAAACTTTAAATATATTATATTTCTCCCCCCTTTTTTCTCACCGATTTATACTGTTTTTCATCGATTTTGATTAATGATGATTAATTGAATTGTACGTGACTTGTAAAACAACTAGACAAAAATTGTGCCCATGCTCAACCCCGCGGTCTTAATGGGCCATCTTGTCTGTATATTCATAAGTTTATTACGATGTAAACACCACATTTGTATTTCTGTACATTTCTATTTTGATTGTTATCCCAAGTTTCATATGTATTCAAATGTGAGACAAAGTTTTCTTTGTATTCAATACCATTTTATATATAAATGTTCTCAATTTTCAGAACAATCGCCTTCAGGTTAAGGTATAACTTTTCGAAAGTTTGCGTATATTGTTCGAGTTGTGCTCATAAATTCATTAATTGACCTCATTAGGTGAGGTGACCTCATGGTTGCCAACTGCGGATATTTGACAATTTGACATTTGTTTATAAATAAATGACCTATCTTTCTGAGTTCCTTCTGCATTTTCATTTTTGGTAAATGAGAAACTGATTTCCAGAATATGGCCGCAAAGAGATTTCCAGTCGTCCTATATGAAGTTGGAGCTCCAGAACGAAGAATTAGCTATGAAGAAATATAAGATGGTCTGTCCCAATTATGCCCCAAAAATGAAAATGAAGAAGGAACTCAGGAAGATGGGTTAGTTATTCATTAGCAAATGTCAAATGTCATTATTTTACCGCAGTTGGCAACCATGGGGTCGCATCATTTGATAAGGTCAATTACATATCAACATTCACTTGTTGGTGATGTTCAAAATGCTACACGATCCGCAAATGGAACGCTCTTCAACCATACTATGATTCCAAAATAGTGGGTGCTACATTATCATAAATGATTCACGTTTTTAAAGAATATTACGGGAGTTTTTTCTCATCACCAAACCGTTATTTCAACACCTCGACACGTGATTCGATCACCAGGTGATCATCTTCAAGGAAAAGATCTTTCTCTTGAAAAACTTCAGTTATATTCATTTTCACATCAAAGGTTCCAAACAGTGCATCGCGAGGACTAAACAGATGATGAGAGAGGATGAAACATAATAGAATCATAACCTAAACAACAATGTTTTCGTATCGTATGCAATAATGTTTCTAAGAATTCATTGCCTATTGTTATGTAATTGTACTTCACTATACCTCATGGTTGTCATGGTACTGATGAGGTGCAACACAATGAATTTTTTTATTTCTTGTGTTACCTCATCACATGCTGAACTAATATCCTCAAATTTCAATAATTTGGTTTTAAGACAGATGAGACACTTCATGATTGGTATTTCTGGAAATATTTCGGCATAATGTTCTCAACTGTTTCAATTGAGGTGGAAGACACTCGTGGTAATTTTCAGAGGGCAAGAGTTCTCACTAATACCGCATCAATGACAAGTTTCATCAGTAAAAAATTCGCCAATCGATTAGGACTCATTAGAACTCCATTTATGTTGGGGATTCAATATATGGGTAATTTAATTTCGCACTCTCGTTCAGATATTGTAATTTTTTCGATACGTCCTGCAGAAGCAACCCACACTAAATTACAGGCAGTAGTTCTGCCAAAAATTTGTTCGGATATTCCAATCACTGATGTTTCTGAAAGAAACCTTCGTTTAGAGATTCCCGGACAATTGATACTCTACTAAGTACAAATGTTTTACCTTTCATCTCATGGAATGGTCGAGTTTCCGGATCGCCTCATGAAATGCCTTTTCAGGTAAAACTGTTTCTCCATCATGCTGAAATTAATATTCGTGCAGATTTGGAAAAGCCTAAACAGTTTTCGAGATATTTGCATATATTAGAGACTTTTGAATTGAATCAAATTGTAGATTGTCCAACGAGAGTAGCTAATAGAACTACGAGTCTTCTTGATGTTATCATAAACGAAAAATATGTGAAAAATGTTTACTATAAATCACGTAAAACTGTTGAGTTGAAAAAAAAAAACAAAAATGATCACTTTCAAATATTTTAATGAAGAAAATTTCCAGAGACATTTGTTTTTCTTCCACTTTATATGATTCATAACCAGGCGGGCGTTGATGACAAAGTACATTTTTTTGTGAATTACTTCGTGACTTTGTTTGATAGACATGCTCCCTTATAATTTCTGAAGTTACTAAATCAAAAGCCTTTTAGCTAACGGATACTATTGAAGAAATGATTTCCACCAGAAATAAAACTCTCAAAAACTATAAGACAACGAAATCAGTTATCATTTTCAATAAAAAAGGGCACATTCTACTCATAGGTTTAGTAATTGTAACAAAAAACAAATGTGGTCTACACTAAGAGAATCGAAAATGCTCTCTGACAAATCTCGCATTTTACCTAAACAACTAGAGAATCCAAATGAGATCAATGCATTTTTCATTGATTCTTCACAGATCGATGATGAACTTTTGAACTTTTATAAAACCAATCGGAAACTGAATGCATCATTCCGTTTTGAAGAGGTTAATGATTTGTTCGTCTACACAACGTTATGTCAAATCAGAACATATGCTTGTGGATGTGATGGAAAACGTGGGTCAAAGCAATTGTAAAGTTTTACCTAAGAAGTCTAGTCCTACTGAATAAAAAGACTTGCGAGCAATAAGCATTTCACCAACATTGTTCAAAGTATTGGATGGGGCCATCGAAGTACAGCTTCGAAGTTATCTATTCTAGGGCCGTTATTCTTCAAATACTTGGCTCATCTTTATGCTGACGACATACAAATCTATCAGAGCTTTTTTCTAGGAGGCGAAGAATCGGCCTCCATTCTTATCAATGTAGTCATTGATACTTTCGTTGAATCTGCCTCAGATCACTGTTTGAAGATGAATGACATCTAAACCAGTATTATTGTATTCGACCCAAAAAACCCTATGTATCATGTTTTGACATGACCATCAATATCAACAATGAATCACTGGTATTGGTTACTGAAGCTTGAAGCATCGCTATTCTGATAGATACAAACTTGAGATTGAGTGTTCAGCAGCCTCTGGTGGCATCTGTATCCATCTTCAGCACAGGAAGATAGTTACATCCAGCAAGCATATTGTTGAGGCTTTGCATAATTTTTTCACTCTCTCGATATAATACAGTCCATTATATTTTCACAACAATCGGTTATCAGATAGTGAAAGTTAGGTGAAGTGGGTGACTACCTGAACCGAACGGATCACTTCCTACAGCCTACCTATGCGACGAGTCCCTGATTCTCAGACTCATCCGATAAATATTCCAGAGCCTAATCCTTAGGTAATGGATTCATCAAGATCAAGTATCTGAAACAGGTAGCTCCAGCCAGTAGTAACCGGCTGACATCTCGGATACCAACCCACATAAGGACCAACTGGGCAACTTATATCAGATCGTACAATTCTTTAAAAAAAATGACTAGGCAAACTCGACTCAATTCCAAAAAAACTATTTTATTAACACCTCCCATACCTTCTTGGGCTCCTCCCCGGAACGTCAGCCCTCTCCACCCTCGCTTGTTCCTCCAACCAGCTAAGAAACACCCTCGCTCCAGCAAAAAATACATAATCTAGGAGAAATTTTCGATGTTTATGCAAATTAGAGGGTCTCTATAATTTACTTAATTTCCACGAACTCATTCGTGGAGAAATTATGGAACCTAAGGTTAACTATAACCGCACCCCTTTACTGAAATCCTCTAACCCCATAAAATCCCGTGAGACACTACAAAAACTACTTCGTGATCGCCCAGGCCACACCTCTATTGAAGTTATGGATCTCCGTTCGCAATCTAACCAACCTTCTGCACCAGGAGTACCATATTTGTCATTTGTCATCATCTTGACATTACAATTGACAAAAAAGGCGCCTTCCTAGAA